AGCAATAATGATGGGATTCCCCTGTCTCAGTTTCTGTGTCCAACTTGGGACCTGGAGCAAAGCCTGGAGAGAGCAGGAGAGGCGCAGGTGTGCAGCTGGAGCTCCTTGGGCTGCCGAGCCCAGCCTTCACATCTGTCCTCTGTGCCAGCATTTACTGATAGTCCTTTACTGAACTGCTTCACATCTGTGCCATTCTCCTGCTCCTCCATCCCTTATTCCTTTGAATCCCACCAGTTGCTCTACTAGTGTAGCAGGAAAACAAGTTCTTGCTGAACAGTATGGGATTTCTGCTCTCCAAAGGGTGAATTCTCCTGCAGCCAGCACCGAGTCCTGGCGGTGCCCTCTGGCAGCAAGAGCTGTCGTCCTGGGAAGGGTGGAGAGGAGCGTGCCACTGGGGAATGCAGCACCTAAACCCACTGCTGTGTCTGTGCACACCCAGCAGCCCTGGACAGCATCATCGGGACAAACTCCACTCTCTCCTTATGCGATGAGGGAGGGTTCTTAATGAGGATTAATAGGCTTCAGCCTGGAGGAGTGAGAGTGGCTGCTGGCATGAGAGGTGTTAGGCAGGGGCTGGTGTGGTGATGCTTCTTGTCTGGGCTTGAATGTGCTGCAGAATCCCTCCGGTGCTGCTGTGCTGCTCCCTGTAGTGCTCCTCTTGGCTTTGCTTCCTCAAGTATTCTCGTAAGGGCTGTGCTTATTCCCTTCTGCATTGCACAGAGCAGGACTGTGGCTGCCCATGGGAGCTGCCATGTCCCATGGGGTGCTGCCTCTAGAGCCCTGGTGCCTCTGAATGCCCACAGGGCAAGGGAGGAGTGTTTTGTCCTGTCCTGGCTGCTGTGACAGACCTCCTGTCATCAAAGCTCCCTTGTCCCTGTCTGGTGCTTGTCCAAGGCCAAGTCCACAGCAATCTCTTCTGCCCCTGGATGGAGGAGCTCCCTTCCTCATCCCCAAGGCCTGAACCACTCTCCCCAGAAAAGAGCATCTCCAGAGAGGGGAAGGTGCTGTCTGTGTGTGAGCAGAGAGTAATTCAGGTACGCATTTGTCTGCTGTAGAACCTGCTCAAACGCAAAACTCTGGTTGTGGGCTTAAAAAGAAGAAATAACATGGTTGAGTATAACTGTTCAACAGAAGATAAAGAATAGCCTTTCTCTCCTGTGCATGTGTGTCATTGGGTCAGATCTCTAATGAGCTGACTTTATCTGTTCACGTGCAAAATCCTTCCAGACTCGCTTCCTAGCAGGGCCACACTGGAAAATAGCAGACTGGCATTTTTTCCTCTAGTTGTCTTTGTGATCTGGAACAATAATAGCAGCAAAGAAAAGGCCAGTAGTTCAGCTCTGTTTCAATCTATTTATTGCATCTTTTTGGAGCAGTAGATGAATTATTATTGAACTTTCAGTAGCTGGTAAAAATGATAACGTGTCTTTGCTGTAAATCTGCTTTATGGACAGGCAGGGACTGATACAGTTGCAGGGTGCTTGCATTAGGGGTACGTAAGTGGGATTGATAGGAAATTTTGATTTTCCCCCTTATCTTTTTGGATGGAGCCACTTCATTCAGGCTGTCTGTGCACCACTGCAAGCACATCTGGTGGAAAGGAGGATCCAGCCACCTCCTGCCAGGCTCACAAGGAAGGTGCTGGGAGGCTGCATCAGGGTCCATGCCCACTCCTGGTGCCTCATAGCTCAAACAGCTGCACCAGAATTGTTCTGGAGTCATTCTTAATACCCTGTGGTGCTGGATGCAAGCTGGTCAGATGTGCCAACCCTACACACAGGAGAACCAGATTAGGGGCAGAGGATTAACAGCTCTTGGGGGTTGGTAAATGTGGTGGTTTTGTGTTTTTAAAGCTTTTGCTTCTTAACTCTGTATCTGAATCCAGTTACAGTTGCTGTTGCTTTAGTGCAGGGCAAGCAGAATGAGGTGTTTTAAGTGATGAGCAAAAGAGGAGTGAAAGTTTAGGGTTCTGGCAAGGGCAAAGAAACCTTCTCCTGGGCTGGAAGGGCAGACTTAGAAAGTAAATATGGAGAGGTGCTGGGTGGTCAGAGCTCTGTGAGATGAGGTTACTGCTCGTTTGTCTACTTTGCCTGTCAAATGTTCCTGGAGCTGTTCAGGAGCTGCCAGTCTGGCTGCTGAGAGGCTGCAGTCTCCCATCCATCGCTCGGGGCTGTGGGGACCCCCAGCTGCTGTTCAGCCCTGTCTATTGCCAAGGGCTGTGAGAACCTCCCCATGCTGCCCTCAGCCCACCAGGGAGGTGTGCCAGGCTGTGTGTGGTGCTGACCCATCAGGCTTGGGGGGCTGCACTTTAGGAGTTCCTGGCACTTGTCTCAATTGTTAAATTGTTTATTTGAGTCAGCACCTCTGTCTCAGATTTAATCATGTTCCTCAGCACTGACTGTTCTGATTGTGTGTCCATTGTTCCCTTCCACACGCTGCATGGCTGGGGGTGCTGCTGCAGCCCCCTGGAACGGGGAATGGGCTGGGAGGAGAACACACAGCATTCCCTGGAGCAGCAGCCTCTGGGGTTTAAGCAGCTGTGGCCTCACTCGTGGCAGCGCTGGCAGGAAGCGTGAGTGACACCAGGAACATGCTGCTGGTGCTGCAGTGTTTGTCTAGCGGGGCCTCTTGTGAGGAAGTTGCATCTGATATTTTGTAGTGCTTCCTGAATCACTTCCAACATCTTATGGTGTGTCTCCACAGGCAGCTCTTTATCCTTAGTCCACTCAGGCTGCATGAGTGTTGAGAGAACCAGAGCAATTATGGAGGTGCTTCTGAGCCGAGCAGTGACACAGATACAGAGCAAGGCACGTGGCTGCTGTGCATCCATGGCTTCACTGTGCTGGGATTGGTACAGACTGGCTGCTCTCTGTGGGCCACTGCATCACCAGGGACACACATCAGTAAGAGCCTGGGAGGCTCTGGGCTGACTGGAGTGATGTGCCTCTGGGGAAGAGGCAGTAACAAGTACTAGCCTGGATTCCCAAAGTCCTTATGTTTCTGTACAGAACCCCTCCATGTCCACTTTTCACTTGAAATACTGGATTTGCTTCCTCCCAGCAATGTCAAGAGCCTTTTATCGTCCGCTGTGTCTAGACAGGCCCTTGAAGTGCAGTGACAGTGCCTGTTGGCTGAGCTGGCTGGGACAGAGGACACCAGATAAGGCCACTGGCTCTGGCTGATGGGAGAGGGTCAGTGCAGGCCTGCTCCCATCACACCTGCTCGTGTCATGGCACAGAGGGGCTGCTCACTGCTGGGGACATGGCTGGTGTCTCAGCTCTTCTGTCCCTTGGTCCTCTGTGGTCAGCTCACTGAGAAGAATGAGCTTGGCTTTGTTGTGACCTGCAGTGCTGTTGGGGGGAGTAAGGGACATCATCCCTTGGCACTGAGCTGGCCACAGTGGCTGGGAAGGATGGGTACAGCTGTTAAAACTCAGGTGTGTTACTGTAGGAGAATGTAGCACTTCTGGAGAGATATAGTGAGGTAACCACTAAAGACTGGACTACAATCTCTGCTTCATGTATTAGTGATTGATTTTCAGTTTGAAACTTGATGCAGTAATTTAAAGGCTGAATTTAATGTTCAGTGTAGGTTTCTTTGAACAAAGTTAATGTTTGCAAAACAAGTCTCTACATATATGCCTTACAGTCTTCCCTGCATCATTGTCTGGGTGCATTCAGCTCACCTTTCTGCTGAAGGCAGGCGAGAAGTATCAGGCTGGTACCTGAAGAGACTTTTTTGGATACATTTTATGGATTATTTTATTATTTTATTTCTGCTAGTGGATCTTGCTTTGCTTAACAAGAACTAGGAGTAGAGAAGGCTCTTTGGTCTCCATTGATCTTCAAGTACCCATAGACTGCTTCAAATTTCACTCCCCCATAAAAAGATTAGCAGCAGCATCCCAAGCTGAGGTTACATTGGACACCAAGCAGAGGTGCTGGGGTCACACCAGTGTGGCACAGAGTGTTGGCTGGGGTCCGCTCCCATGGTTCAAGCTGTGTGCACAGATTTTATGTGGGAGGGTGCTGGTCCCTGCACAGCAAGGGCAGTAAATCTGCTGTCAGAAGGGCTGCACATATGTAATGAGAGCAGATTATTTCTGTTTTCCATTATTTTGCAGCCTTGAGACAGGTGGACAGATTATAGAGCAGACAGAGTATATGTTTGTCAGTCCTTTCCTGACTCTTTCATCACCACCCCCCTCCCCGGTGACCCCATTTTCAGAGGGATAAAGCGAGCAACCCAACCTCATTTCTCAAATCTGTTGCGAAGTCTGATTAGAGAAGTGGAGGAGCTCTGGCATGAGGTGCACGTGCAGCCTGCTGGGCCCAGGCTTTGCAGCCTTCCCAGCCATTCCTGCCCTGCAGGTGCTGTCGGGGCTCTGCTCACGCCCCTGTCCCTCTTGGGATGTGCTCAGTGGGTCAGTCCCGTGTGAGCAGGGTTTCTCTGTGCAGGTGTGCCAGGCATGTCTGTGCAGCACAGCATGGGCTGCTGCTGCTCCTGCATTGGCTGCTCTGCCATACTGTGGCCCCTTGTGTGCAGGGGAAGCTGCACCTCCCTGGCTGGGATGGTGGTAGAAGACAGTGTTTAGGATGAGCAAGTTATGTGTAGGGGATTCTTGCTACCCAGTGGAAAAAAATCCATGTTGACCTGTACTACTCCTGTGCTTGACAGAATGCTGATGGGAAATAGTTTTTCTCTACCTGCTTGACAATGATCAGGCTGAAGAAGCATCTGTGGTTTAGATGTCCCGATCCTGGCTGAGTCCTGGAATTGGAGACCTAGATTAGCACTGAACACCTGCATCAAGGTTTTGGGAAATGTGTGACCTCACCAAAGCTGCAATGAGCAAGACAGAGTGTGTGGGCATTAGGAGACTAAACTCTTGTTTTGCTCCAGCTTGAACAAACAGAAGATTTCATGAGGGCAGGGGTAGGTGTGATGGCATGGCCTCGGGTCTGCATTAGCTGTTATTGCAGTGTCTCTTCTCTCTGCAGAACATCGTGTCCAAGAACGCGATGCAGTACCGTGGGAATGCCCAGCACGATGCCCAGGAGTTCCTGCTGTGGCTCCTCGACAGAGTCCACGAGGATTTGAACAATGTGGTGAATTCCAGTGGCATGCCTTCCCTCAAGGTAAGGGATTCTGCTGGGAGACAATGTGGGTGTCTAACTTTGCACACAGGCTTTCCTTTTAAAGCAGTTCTCCCCATTGGCTTCTTAACTTCAGTAGTTCAGATGGAACAAAAGCTTGGGTTAAAGTAATGTTTGTTTCTGCTCTGGGAGTGTAACCAGCTGTTTCACTAATCCCTGACAAGTGCTCCCTGAGGCAGATGTGTTTGAGAGGCTCTGCAATAGCCAGGAGGTGTTACCAGGTGTGAGCCCCCGTGCCCTTCCTGAGCTGCCCTGCCCACCTTGCCTTCCTGCATGCCCACCTTGCCTTCCTGCATGCCCACCCCTTGGAGCAGAGTGTGCCTGGTAATTAAAAATGTTTGTGGCATTTTTCCGGTAGTTTTGGCTAAGGAAGCTAAAGTTTAACTGGTGTACTGGAGTCACTTGCTTGGTGCAGCCCCCACACCTGGGTGTGCCTCAAGGCTTTGTTCCTCTCTTTTAGCCACCACTGGAGGATGATGTGCTGCTTGAGGGCCCAGCCTTTCCCATCAGTAGCACTTTTGTGCAGGAACTCTTTCAAGCCCAGTACAGGTATGGTATTTTGTAAATTTGTTGAATGTATGGGTGACTCCAGTATAATTCTAAACTGACATTAGCTCCCAGTACAGTTGGGACTGGTGTCACTATGTTAAAAGCTGAACTCCTGCTGAATTCCTGCTGAACTAAGACCTTGCTCTAGAGGAAAGAGAATGTCACTGCTTCAAATTTGGTATATTCTGTGTAAATCTGCAGTATGTACCACTACACCTGTTCCTGTGCATCGTGAAGGTGAGTCAGTGCTTCATGAGCAAAGGCTCAGGAAAGCCTTGTGCTATGGGGCTCACCCTGACTGTCGGAGGCAAGAGCCCATGGCAGGATCTGGAGGTGCCTGGGACTTAGGGATGCCCAGTGTGTGCAGAGTGCTTGTTATCTGGCACTTGGGAATCCTGAACTGAAAGTATCACTGCCCCTTTAGGGCTTTCCCTTGAGGTTCCCTGCTTTCTGGGAAGAGAGCTTTCTAACTTCAGAGCTATTGGAAGAGAACAGATGAATCACCAGTGTTTCTTGATGGCTTGTGCCTGGACTGCTGTAAGAATTATAATTGCTGGGCTTTCTCCCCAGTATTTGCCAACTTCTCCTCTGCAAAGGGGGAACTTTAAGCCTGGTGTAAGACACAAAGCCATTGTAAGGTGCAGATCGATTCTGAATGAGAATGGAGTTTTAGAGAAGGAGAATAGACTCTTGTCTGGAGTTTTTCCTGTGTAAGAGCTGTGTGCACCCCAATGCTGACTGTCTCTGTCCCTGTCCTGTCTTCTCTCTCTGAAGGCAAAACCCTTCCAGGGTTTCCCGTTGGATCTGCTGTTGGTGAATATGGGATTTGATGGTTTCTACATTCCCAGTGAAGTGAGATGTAACTGTGCCCTGTTATCCATGTTTGTCCCAGGTCCTCCCTGACGTGCCCTCATTGCCAGAAGCAGAGCAACACCTTTGACCCTTTCCTCTGCATCTCGCTGCCGATCCCTCTGCCCCACACTCGGTACGGAACCTGAGCCTAACGTTGGCGCTCTCCCTTGCATGTCATGTTGCTCCTTTTGCTACAGCAGAAAGACAGTATCAGCAACATTCTGATAAGTCATTTAAAAGATAGATAGGACTGTATGGGGATTTAATGTTTTGCTTTGCAGGTAAAATGAAAAATTGAGCCTTTTACTTTTTTCAGAAAGGTCTATCCTTCCTATAGAATTCATTTGGGGAGAAAAAGTCTTTGCTTCACATAACCAAAATATTTTGCTTTTCACTTCACTTCATTTATATCATTTGAAAATTAAAAAAGGGAAAAGGATGAAACACACTTTGTTTTTTAAAAACAGCCTCACTGATGACTCCAATTTCCAAAATTGAGGTTAAAATTCTTAAATAAATAAAAATCTTCCCTGCAAAATGTTTTGCTTTTTTGAATGACAGCTGATGCAAATAAAGAGAAAAAGCTTCAGGGGAGGAAAAAAGATCCAGATAAAATGTTCAAAGTGAAGGTAGAGATGCACAGGAAAACTACCTGTGGTATAAACAAACTCCTTCACCTGATGTTTGCATCCAGAAGATTTGTGTAGGCTCCAGAAGCAAAGGAACTGAGTGATGATAGGGCAGATTAAACATTGCTGTGTCACATTTGCTCTGGAAATCCCTGCTTCACCACCACATGGAGCCTGAGTGGGCTATCCAGGGAAGGTTCCCCTCCCTCTTCTCTCCCCAGTAGTGCTGCTGGCTGCTGTTGGAGGCAGGATTGAGGGCTCAGAGGCAGCCTGTTCCCAGCAGCAGCTCTCCAAGTACTTCAAGGTGCTGTCTTATACTGACTGGCCCAAGCTTTCCTACAGGATCCCTGTTGGAAAACTGATTGCTTTCTCATTGAGAATTTTGGTTTTAACTTTGTGGGCCTTTTTTGACATGTTCTGCTTGTGGAAGCAAGTAACCCCAGGGCATTAGTAAGAAAGGAGTCTGTAAATCAAACACCCTGTGTGGCTGCAGCTGAGCACAACTCCAGTGTGAGGTGGATCTGAGCAGTCAGGAGGGCCCTGTGCCTGGTGGGCAGCCTGGATGTGCCCAGGTTGGGCTGAGGCTGCTCCAGGCAGTGTCCAGAGGTGCTCAGCCCAGCCCAGCAGTGCTCCCACACTCTCCACAGGCCGCTCTACGTCACCGTGGTGTACCAGGGCAAGTGCTCGCACTGCATGCGCATCGGGGTGGCCGTGCCCATCTCCGGAACAGTGGCCAGGCTGCGGGAGGCTGTCTCCTCAGAAACCAAGATACCCCTGGAGCAGGTAATGGCCTGGGCTGCTCACCTGTGTGCCCTCCCTGCAGTGGAAGGGACAGTGAAGGCTTTTGTCCCTTGTTGGATTTGTTGGAATCGAAATGCGCTGCCCGTGGTTGAACAGGGGAGCAGGATATTGGTGGAAATGTGGATCGTGCTTTTCCCTGTGCATTGGCTGTTTGAATCCTGGTGATGTTGGAACAGCCCTCAGTGGAGTGTGCAGACCTGCCTGACCCCATGCTGATCTGTGCATGCTGGCAGTGAGGCAACCACTGGGAACCTACAGCAAATTCCTCTGTAGGAAGAGCTTCAAGAAAGCTGTTGAATTCCAACAAAACCTCTCCATATGTTGCTTTTACCACAGCTTCTTGTTTATGGTTGTCCTTTTCCCTGTTCCTTGCTCCTGGCTGATGGCAGTGATGACACTCTTGAGGAGTGTCATCCCTTAGCAGGAAAATCCCAGCTGAGACACAGGGTCACTGAGGTGAACCCACGGGTGGTTTGATGGGTTCTGGCTTGCTGCCTGCAGATCGTGCTGACAGAGATGTACTACGATGGCTTCCATCGTTCCTTCTGCGACACCGACGACTTGGACACCATCCATGAGAGCGACTGCATTTTTGCCTTTGAGACCCCAGAGATCTTCAGGCCTGAGGGCATCCTTAGTCAGAGAGGTGAGTCAATAACTCCACTTGGTGCCGACCTCAGGTGACTAGTGAGAGAGGTTTGTGTGGGAAAAGAATGAGTCCCACAAGCTGTTGATGTTCTGGTGTATTGATTTCAGCTCTGACTTTGTCCAGGCTCATTCCAGAAGATTTAATAGTGTTGTCAGCTGGGAGGTTATCAAGCAGTGTTGTACACTCCTTTCTGCCTCTTCTCGGGGCTGGTGCTGCAGGCCAGGCTGGCCTAATTTGAAATCTCTTGTCAGGCTTAATTTAAAGACCTGCTAGGGACCAGATGAAGCCACTGAAATTGTGTTATTTAAAATCAGATTGCTAGTGATGAATAAACAGTCTCAGGAATGAACAAACACTTTCCAAGCTCAAACTCCTTGTGCCCTCAGTGAAAGGGAATCATGGTGTCCTGGGAAGATGGAGTGTAATCAAAGGCAAATTTTATTATTGAAAGTAACAAGTTGGGTTCCTGGCACCTGAGTTTTTCTGTGGGCAGTAAAAGCTGAGAGTGCTTGTACAACCTGCTGTGAAAAATCAGATGGGGAGCACTTGCATGTAATGTCCTTCCCTAAAGAAACAGTCACTGTGAAAGGTAGTTGCTCTTTGAAGCTATGTACAAGTGATGAAAATGCTCCTGATTCTATAGTGACCTGCTCCTCTGTAGCCCAAGGAGGGCTTCTTGAGGGGGACATCAGGGCACTAAATGCAAATGACATAATGAAATGTTTCCTTTCTCCTGATTTTTTCAGGAATACATGTGAACAATAACCTGAATAACTTGAATTGTGGCACTGAGCACTCCCGAACAATAGCTTACTCTCAAGGAACGGGGAAGTCTGGAAAACTGGAACAGTCCTGTCCTAAACTAGCAGCAAATGACAAGATTGTCTTGCTGGTGTGTAACAGAGCATGCACTGGACAGCAGAGCAAAAGGTGACTGGCAGCAGTGTGGTCGGAGTTACTCTTCTGGCTGCTTCCTAATCTGGATTTTACTCTCCTGTAGTCCAGGCTCCAGGTGAAGGAGCAGTAGCTTGCATCCCTAGCTCACATCAGCTGCTAAAGAACATGTTGGTGGAGAAGCATTAATGGATGCAGAAAAAGATTTCTAACTTTGGTGAACTTCAAGTATTGTATTACTGTAAAGGAACAAATGCAGTCCAGTTGGGAGGATGTACCACCTTTGTCTGGTTTGAGAGCAGCATGTTTGACCAGACCCTCCTATGGGTGGGCATTTTAAATTGGAGTGAAAATGTGGGGAGGGAGAGAAGTGAGAAAACCATGGCAAAGGCATTTGTATCAGCTGGAGCCTGAGAACTGCCTCAGTCTCTGAAGCTTCACAAAACTTCACATGAAGTTCTCACTTGTAGTCTGGGGTTCCAATTTCTGAACAGGATAATCTTTTAATTGTTCCTCAAATGCTTCTCATTCCCATAGGTTTGGCCTGCCCTTTGTGTTGCACTTGGAAAAAACAATTGCTTGGGATATTCTGCAGAAGGAAATACTGGAGAAGATGCAGTATTTCCTGCGGCCTGCAGCCTGCTTGCAGGTAAGACAGATGTCCTGTCTGGTCACCAGAGAGGAGCTGTTGGGTGCACAGGTCCCATTGCTCAGCCCTCTGTCAGCTCATTGGCACAGGCATATTTGAGACCTTGTACATTTGCTTTCTCGTGTCAAATGTGTTCTAGGGTAAAGTCTTTGTCAGCCAGTGCTGAGGGCAGTTTGCATGTGGGCAGGCTGGGCTGGAGCCCCTGAGCTGGTCTCTGTTCTCTCTGGTGCAGGTTTGCCCGTTCAGCTTGCGAGTGGTCAGTGTTGTGGGCATAACGTACTTGCTACCTCAGGAGGAGCGACCCCTGTGCCACCCAACAGTGGAAAGGTGAGCTGGCCCTCAGCTGCTGGGTGCTTCCCAGGAGTGCAGAGAGGTGTGTTAGCTGGGAGCTCAGTGTCAGCCATGCAGAAATGAACAGTCCTGGTGGGGATGTGTGGAATGGACTGCAGAGGCCTGAGGAGCAGGGAGATGAGGGAGCATCCTCAGGAAGCTGTGTGAGAATACCTCAGTTGTGTGTCGTGCCATCTGGAGTCTGTCTTCCCTGGGAATGGAAAACAGAATGGAAATATTACTCCTGCTATTTTAAATTATTTTCTTGTGCCTTTGAAATGTTGGTAAATGCCTGTTCTGTAACAGGTGTACTTTGCCTTACAAAACTCACATACTTGAGTGAAGGCATTTACCAGCTTTGCCAAGTGTTTTACCCTGTGAATTCCTTTTACTCCTTTGCAACTTGAGTTGTGGGAGTGGAGGAAGGATGAAGGGCTTGTGGAGAGAAATGCATGTAGAAGATAATGTAGACTTTGGATGGAAAGATGGTCTGACTTTTATCTGCTCCTCTCTGCAGGGCATTGAAGTCATGTGGACAGGGGGGAACCGCTCATGTGAAATTAGTGGTAGAGTGGGACAAAGAAACTAAAGATTAGTAAGTATGAAGTAAAAAACTTGAAACTGTGTTCACCTCACAACTGCTGCTTGCAGCTTGCTTGTGTGAACTGTGCATCCTTCAGCAAACATGAGACCACTCAAACTCCACCTGTGCCCAGCCCCTGTCTGCAGGGACAGCCTGGGGAGCAAGGGGATGTGCTGGTAAATGTGGTGTCTCCCTGATGCAGCTTGTTTGTGAATACAGAAGAGGAATATATTCCAGACTCTGAAAGCGTCCGCCAGCAGAGAGAGCTTCATCATCAACCTCAGATCTGCACTTTATCTCAGTGTTTCCAACTGTACACCAAAGAGGAACAGGTAGATACAGACTGTGTACTCTGGCTTGTTCACATGCCACAGGAACTTGCTCACTCCAGAGCAGCTCTTTTCTGCAGACATTGATTCCTTGTGACAGATCTGTAACACAAGACTGGTTATCTGTGCTGCTAACGGAGCTCCTCTGCAGTGAGAAGATTATGGGAGGTCCTGCTTCTGGATTCTTTGCTGCCCAGATGTTGATACAAGAATTCAATCCTCTCTTTGTCAATTCCCTTCTGTGAAACATTATAAATATTATAAAGGGTTAGGACAGTGTGGCTTCATGGGAGAGTTCTGGAGCAATTGTGTGTTCCCAAGCTTGAGCAGGGCTGGGGTGGGCTCAGGCAGCCCCCACTGAGTGGGACCCCCTCAAACAGCAGCACAGTGACCACAGCTCAGTTCTGCAGGAACGTGGCTGCTCCTCTGCTCTGGCTCTGCTCGTTGTGTGAGGCTGAAGAGACAGGAGTGACTGGTGTGCCACAGGCAGGCTAGAGAGGGCTCTGACCGTGCCTTTCCTGGCACATGGGGGCCATCTGAAGTCCTTTGGCAGTCTCTAATCTGCTGTACAAAGGGCTGGTCTGGAGCTAGTCTTTGGACCCAGGACTGAGCTGTAATTTGGGAGCCTCTCTTGTTGGTTCTTTCACAGGTGGGGGAAGAGTTTGACATCTTAAATCTCTGTGGCTGCTGACTTCTCTGAGCACTGGGCTGTGGAGGGAGGCTTGGGGGACAGGGAGAATCTTCAGTGTGTAACTCTATGTTGTTGGGATTGCAGAGGAAGAGGGCAGTGAGGTGTTAGAGGGGACATCCCAAGTACACCTTTATTTTTTCTGTTCTGATCTTTTCCTACTTTTTTTCTACTGCTGGTTTTCATGTGAGAATAATTTTCAGGCTGCCAAGCCTGCCTGCTCTTTGCCTTGGTTTTTCCTTTTCCTTCTACTCCACTCCCAAGGCACTGGCATTTATAAGGTACAGAAAGATCCTCTGCACAGCAGCACTGGCTGAATTCTGCCTTGCAGCAGGAAGCGCCTCCTGAATGAAGCACACATCTCTGCTTGTCACTTTGAAAAGCATCATTGGGAACCCTGCATTTCCAGTGAGCTTAAAAATGCTGGAGGGAGATGAGGCAAAGGGGTCAATGTCTGCACTTTGGGCTTGGGGCAGCAGAGGAACAGTGGTGTGGTGCAAGCTGCCTTGGAATTTGAAAACCAATACCCGCTTCTGCCTATTCCTTGTAGCTTGCCCCAGATGATGCATGGCGATGCCCACACTGTAAGCAGCTGCAGCAGGGTAGCATCACACTGAGCCTCTGGACCTTACCTGATGTTCTCATCATACATCTCAAAAGGTTTAGACAGGTGAGGATGCCTGTAGTGTTGCTGGAGGACTGCTGAGTGATGTGAGTAGACTCCCCTCTTTAGAAGCAGACATTTTTCCCTATGTGTTCCTCACTGGGGTTTTCGCAGGTGTGTTGGCCTTGGCCTCTGCAGCTCATGCTCTTCTCTCTGCACAGGAAGGAGACCGAAGGATGAAACTTCAGAACATGGTTAAATTTCCCTTGAGTGGCTTGGACATGACTCCTCACGTTGTGAAACGCAGCCAGAGCAGCTGGAGCCTGCCATCGCACTGGTCACCTTGGAGGAAACCTTATGGCCTCGGCAGAGATCCTGAGGACTACATCTATGACCTGTATGCTGTCTGCAACCACCATGGCACCATGCAAGGGGGACACTATACAGGCAAGTGTCCTGCTGTGCTGTCTGTGGTGGAGCCTTTCACAAAGAAACCGGTTATATTGCTGTATGGAGTAAGAAAGTCAGTCACTGATGGAAGCAGTGTCACAGCTTACAGAAGGTGAAGTGAATGGAGCCACCCCAAATGATGTTCTGTTCTGTTGATGTTTGACAAAGAAAGTCCTGAAATGTAAGCTGTTTAGTATGTTCTGGCAGCCTCAGGCTTCCATCTTGCCAGTCAGACTGGAAGATGATGCAAGAATAAATCTGTTCTTCACATTGTCCTCCAAGTCCATCACAGCAGATAAGGTGATATTAAATATCATACAGCAAACCTGAGAGCAGTGGGAGTGAGGGAGTCTTACAGTATTGTAAATATGTATTATTTCTTAGCATATTGCAAGAATTCTGTTGATGGCCAGTGGTATTGCTTCGATGACAGTGAAGTTCAGCAACTTTCTGAAAGTGAGGTGTGCAAGCAGACAGCTTACATCTTGTTCTACCAGCGACGCACAGCGATCCCCTCATGGTCTGCCAACAGCTCGGTGGCAGGTAAGCCCTGCTGGCACTGCCCAGGCGTGGCTCCAAGTGGTCTTTAATGGATAGCTTGTCCTTCTGGAGAATTTTCTACCCAGCTCTGCTTAAACCCCCACTCTTGTGTCCCAGAACTCAGCGAGGCTTGTCTGAGTCTGTGGCTTTGTGTCAGAGGCTGTGGGAACTTTCCAGCTCTTCTGCTAAGGCAGTTTTGGCAGGGAGGCTGTGGAGAAGGGGAAGCCCCTGTGCCCCAGATGTGACTGCTCGGAGCTGCCCTTGTGCAGGACATCAAATCCTGACTTGCTCCTTCCCTGTGGCAGCACTCTCGGTCCCGAGGAGGCACCAGTAGTGCATGTGTTGGTGGAATCCAGGGTGAGCTGTGGGCAGGTGCAGGCTTGGTGACCTGCCCCTGGGAAAAAAGAGATTTTTGTGATATTGGTGTGGCAGCTGAAATGCTGCCACTGCCTGCACTCTGGTATTCACAGCACACTGAGACAAGTGCAGTTCTGTGCTCTTGTTCTGACCATGAACGCTCCATGAGAGTGAAGCCCCGTTCCCTCGGCAGTGTGTGGGTGCTGGGGCGGTGAGGGCCAGCTCTGGGCTCAGGTGTGTGCCAGAGCAGAGCAGAGCAGTGGCACCTGGCTCCCTGGCCGGGTTCTGCGTGCGCTGCTGACGCGTGTGCTCCCCGCAGGCTCCACGAGCTCGTCGCTGTGCGAGCACTGGGTCAGCCGGCTCCCGGGCAGCAAGCAGCCCAGCGTCGCCTCCGCCGCCTCCTCGCGCCGCACCTCGCTCGCCTCGCTCTCCGAGTCCGTGGAGCTCGCTGGGGAACGCAGTGAAGATGACGGTGTGTACATTGCTGGGGGGCACGCGGGGCCTTGTCCTTCTGTTGTGAGATCCTTTTTGAAAAACAGCTGCAAAATCCGTGCTTGCAAGGGACGGGTACGGAGCAGCTGTGAGAGGCAAGAGCTGGCTCGGTAGGAGCACAGGTGGGCTTCTGTCTCATGGGAAAGGTTGGAGGAGAACAGGGCAGGAACCTTAAGGAGCCTTTCAAAGACAGCAAATGCCATCAACAAAACCTCTCAGTCAGGAGTTTCTTGTGCTTGTGTTCTCTTCTGGGTCTCACTGCATCACCTATTTAGGGTTGCTGACACGGTGCTGACAGATTCAGCATAGGCACTAATTGCCTGCTACTGTGCTGCAGGATGGTCCCAGGGAGGGAGGGAGGGAGGTGCAAATTCACTCATGTACACAAGTTACTGTTCAGTTCCTGGCTTTGCCTGGTTCCTCCACGCATTGCCTTGTAACTTCTGAGAATGTGGAACTTCATGGACCAGTCAGAGCATTTGGAAGCTGGTGTGGAGGTGCCTCTGCAGCAGTGACAGCTGTTAGGTCTGGTCATGGAAGTCACACTATTCTAAAATAGTTACATTTTGTTTTTCTAAATACAGTTACACCACTTGATCTAGAGGTAGAAATCCTACTTTGTCTTTCACAGAATACTCTGGAAGTATTCTTTAATACAGATTCACAATCCTAGTGATTTTACCAGTTTCAAGGACTTTCATGGTGCAAACCTTGTGTTTGATCTCCTGCTGCTCAGGGATGAGAGAAGAATCTGGGTTATCAGTTAGAGGCTTCAGAGAGTTACTCCTGGGTGACCCCTGGCAAACAACACTTGTTGGTTTCCTCATTCAGTTTTTGTGCAAGAAGCTGTGCCTGCAGCCTGCATGGAGAGACACGTGGTGTGGGGTGGGTGGGCTGCTTGGCTCTCGTGGGGAGATGTGGATGGGTGGGGTAAACCAGCTGCAGCCTTGCCTTTCCCACTGAGACTGTCACTTGCTTTCTCTGCAGGAGGATTTTCAACTCGACCATTTGTAAGAAGTGTCCAGCGTCAGAGCTTGTCCTCCAGATCCTCTGTCACCAGCCCACTGGCAGTGAGTGAAAATGGTGTCAGGCCCTCGTGGTCACTCTCCGCAAAACTGCAGTTCCGCTCCAACTCCCCATCACGCTTCTCTGGAGATTCCCCAGTACATACCTCTGCTTCCACTCTCGAGAAGATTGGGGAAGCTGCTGATGATAAAGTCTCCACCTCGTGCTTTGGCAGCCTGAGGAATCTCTCTAGCAGCTACTTGGAGCCCTGCGACAGCAGTCGGCGAGAGCACAGGACGGCTCGCAGAGCTCCTTTGGCTGTCATGGAAGGGGCGTTCAGGGAAGAGTCCGTTGTAAGGACATCCAGCTCAGACCTTTCAGATGGGTATGGTAAAAGCTCTGTGCAGCCAGACAGGAATCACCCTGCTCTGGACCCTTTTGATAACAACAATCAAATCGCCTTTGTTGACCAGAGTGATTCTGTGGACAGCTCCCCAGTGAAGGAGGTGAAAGCCCCAGCTGGGACGGGGCTGGCTGCAGAGAAGGCACATGACACCCCTAAGAAGGGTCACAGCTCCAAAGGAGCTTCTGAGCCAGACAAAAGTTTGAGGAAGGGAAGGACAGTCTTAGCTACCCAAGAGACCAAAGTCTCTCACTCTTCTCCTCCACTGAAGAGTTCTCAGAAAGCTTCCCGGTCTAGAAGTAAGACAGACTCTTCTAGGGTCAGCGGGCGACACGGGTCTCCTGCTCCCACTCAGGCTAGGAAGGACCACAGCACGAAACCCCTGGAGGCATCGGTCCCATCAGCTCAACAGAAGCAGAAGTCAGGTTCTTCTCCATCCTCCACAGCTGCCAAGAAAGCCCCATCAGGCTCATTGACTAAGGGCTCTTCCTCTGGGAAGAGCCGGACTTCCGACCGCAGCCTCAGCAGGGAGGGCTCCAAGATCAGCCTGGGGTCGGATAAAACGAGCGTTACCAGCAGCTCCAGGACGAGCTCCCCACGGATCAGCCACTCCAGGAGTGACAGCAGGGCAGTGGACAGCAAGCACGTGCGCAGCTCCTCCATGGCCAACCTGCGCTCCCCAAACGTCGGGGTGCGCTCTGGGCTGAAGAGGGACAGCAAGTCAGAAGAGAAGGGTTTGTCTTTCTTTAAATCAGCCTTAAGGCAGAAGGAGACACGGAGGTCGGCAGACCTGGGGAAGACAACAATGCTTTCAAAAAAGACAGGGAGTGTCAGTTCCAAGTCAGGCAGTAAAAATGTGCTGGAGGACAAACCAGAGAAAGGTGGTGTCCCACCAGCATCTCAAACCAATGCCAACATTACTACAAAAGAAAAACTTGTCTCAAAAGATGCCACATCTAACAAACATTCTCTGCTATCCAGTCGCAAGTCCAAGTCTTCCCAGCTAGATCCCGGAGTCCAGTCTCCTCCTTCCAGTGGCAAGCAGTCTGCTGACAAGCCGCTGAAAAAGTTACCTTCCAGCATGCAGGTGTCTGTACGGCCTTCTCTGGAACCTCAGTGAAATGCTGCAATCCAGGTGTCTTTTCTTCTGCTGAGAAGCTAATTTATTCTGAGCTCTTGTTTTTTGTTCATGTGCCTAATGTATGTTTTGAGGAGAAGTTAACTGCAAGTTGTTAAAGCGCCTTTGATTCTGCCATCAAACCAAATAGCCACAGGCAGCCAGCACTGGTGCAAGTAGCCTAGCTGGAGTCATTGTTGAACATGAATGCAGCTGTCCCATAGCACTTGCACAGGAGTCTCTGTCGAAAGTGCAACAGCTTTCTTCAGATTTGAGGGTTGGGACGTGACCCCCAGTTGTACTGACACTGGTGTGCTTTGTAGAGCTGTGAACTGATATTCCTTTGGTCTTGTTCTGGGTGGGCTGTGTCCACACTGGTGTATGGCCTTGTTCTGAGCTGTGGAGGATGCGAAGGAAACTGGAGAGACTGTCGCTTCTTTCTGCTCTCAACTCTTTCTCCCTGCTCCCCCCCATTTTCAAGCTTTCTAAAGGGCAATATTTCAACACTAATGTTGTTTCTCAGGTATATACTCAGCCAGTATAGGAGGGACTAGCATTAGTGACGGACAGAAAGGTACCTGTGTGTCTCTGTGCGTGTCTGTGTCACAGATTCAATTTTTGCATTCCAGCAGCAGAAAGTTTGAAATGTGACCTGCAGTTTTTGTTGCTGTGTCTATGAAGAGTTTTGCTTTGCCCATACCTAAGGCAACCTCTACCCTGTTGTGTTTAACTACTTTCTTCTGAAATGCTCTGCTAAACAACAGAAGAAATCCCTGGGCAGCAGCTGCTGGCCAGCTTGTCCTGTGGAAGCAGTGCCATGGGAGAGTTATGTCCACACACCTGGATGGCCATGATGCTGTCAGGATGCCCCTGTTCAAACTCCTGGGAAGCATTTCCTAGTGTGCTCAGACCCTTACCATAGTGGTGTAATTAAACCTCCATTATCTCTAGGGGTGATGTTTAGATCAAGTGTCACCCTGCCCTCTCTGAGCATGCTTTGACAGACCCCTTTGTGTGGGTTGGAGGGGCTGTACCCAAAGCCCAGAGCAGTTTTCCTGTTCTCTGGAGCGCTGTATGTTCTTCCCTCTGGCATGCCTGTGCTCTCCCCATGGGTCTGGCTGCCACATGTCCCTCAGTGGAAGGTTCCCCTTCTTGTTTGGACGACAGCCTCCATCAGGGTCAAAACACTACATCTACTGATGTCTTTGTTTACATGCCCTTCTTATAGGGGAGATTCCTCAAGTTCTGTAAGGTCCCTCTTAAGGTGGATTTTTTTTTAAATTCCATGAGTTTTTATTGATGTGCTGCATATCCTTTATGTCCACAGCCTGTCGTGTAGGTTGTGACAAACTGGGAATGTGCTGGGCATGCTCTCTGCTGAGCAAGGTCTGTGCCTGCCCAGTGCCATGGCACAGCTTGGGGCCAGGGGTGTGTGTGCTCTGTCCCAGCAGAACAAACTGGCCTGTGCCACCTCCCTTGCTGAGGTGCTGCTTGTCCCCAGGTCTGCTGGGCACCTTGCTGCTCTAGGATCAGTTTTCTGCTCACCACACGCCTGCAGCAAGCTTGGGAGGGAAGGGTTGTGGGTTCTGGCTCCTGGGAGCGTGTGTGGCTGGGAGTGCCATCGAGCTGGGCTCAGTGTGTGAGGATGAGGCCACCCTTGCAGTGTCCTGGTGATGTCCTGCTGTGTCCCCTCCACGTGCCCCAGCAGTGCCCACAGCCTGCACGTGTGATGCCCTGGCTGTTCCAACCGAACGTGACCGTCCCCTCAACGCATTCCTTCCCCCAGGCATTGTTTCAGTCTCATTTATTGCAAAGATTGCATTGCTTGCTTCTGAAATGTATGACTTGGATTATTCTTGGATTATTTTCTGTTATATCCAGCAGAGCAGATAAGACTTGCTTCACATTGCAGTACTTAAATTACTCCCTGAAATGTTGATGTTGAAGTATTTGTTTAAGGTTTTATCTGTATTAAGGTCTTACACTGTGTTGGCTCTTCTCTTGTAACAACTCTTCTAGCAAGAATGTAATTCCGGTGGCTTATGCTGACTCGGTTTGGGATCTTTTAATAGACAGAACTACTTTCTGTGCATTTTGCCATGGACATTTGTGAAAGGTTATTTTTATCAAATGACATTTTTTTTTCATGTCATCACTCACTGAAGGAGTTTAAACTTGAAGCTGGTGTGTGGGTTTTGAGGTGGTTTTGCTCCTGTGCTGCATGCCTGACTGAAGGGAATACGAAGCCATGTTCAAACCCATGTTTTTGCTTAACACCAGTTCAATGTTTGTATCTGGAGCAAGAAAATGGTCCTTGGAGCTCTCATTTGGGTAGAAGGGAGATGGGACATCCTGGAATTCCAGCAGCTGATAAAAGTAGTTGAACCTCTGCAATCCCATGAGGTGCCAATCTCACTCTCTTTCTGCACGTTCTCCATAATTCCTGATGCTAATTGCTGCCAGCTCCAGCACTGTCTGCTCTCTTCATGCTGCCAGACTGGATTTCTTTGTCCCTCTGGTGGTGCACAGGCTCCTTGCTCTGCAGAGGAGTGTCAGTAGGCAGGAGGGGCTGCACTGACAGTACATACCCTCGCCTGTGAGCTGCTCCTCTGCTGGGTTTTCTGCTCAGGAGGGTTTGGCATGGGGTGTCCTCAGGCAAAGTGGTTTGACCGACCAGGGTGCACCCGAGTTCACGTGGGACAAAAGGTCCAGGTGTGTGTGTGCAGGGGGAGCTCAGTCCCTGCTCCGTGTCTGCCTCAGGGCCCCTGGGAACAGCCACTCCTGTCACTCCACAGCTCTGCTTGTTGCTGTCACACATCTTCAGTAGTAAATGAGCTTCCTCGCACAGGAGAGGGTTGAAGGGTGTGCGTCTGGGAAACACTGTTCACTGGGAGTGTTAATCAAAGCCTTGTTGCTGTTACAGTCATGACTTCATCAGTGCAGTAGGATAAATGTTTCTGCAATGGAATGTAGGTTATTACAGGCCCTGCTTAAAGGGATTTGGGGAAAAATCATCAGTCTTCTCTCCTGGCTTTAAAGCAGACTTATCTCTTGTCCCTTTCATGGCAGGAACTCCTGTCCATGGTGTTGTGTTGTCCAGCTGCCAGGATGTGGCATGGTACCAGGGAACACTCAAGAGAGGGATATGCCAAGTCCTAGATACCAACACCACTGTGGCTTTGCATATGGATCCTTCATGCAGCAGTGGCTTGAGGCTGTTCTGAAGCAGCTACATGTACATGGGCATGTCTTAAAGTTCCTGTTTGCCATCTGAAGCACTTATGGCTGATGGGGAGGTGGGCTCTGCCATCTCTCCCAGAGGCGCTGCTGCCCAGGGACCTCCACCTTCCCTGGGTGGTGGCACTGTAGGTAGGAAATCTCATATGGGCATCTGAGTGCGATGGGAGCTGCTGCCAGGTCTGTCCTGCCCAGCCTGTCTGGGGATGGCGGGGTCTGGGACCCTCCTGCCACGGAAGCAAATGTTTGGCTCACGGTGATGGGAAGTGCCTGGGAAGGGGGAGGCCCCAGCAGGTGAGCTCCGAGGCAAAGCAGCCGTTCAGGCAGCGTTTCCAATCTGTCTGGGGTTGGAGTGGCCTGTGCCAGCATGTGACTTGTATTTCACCCCACGTCCCTAGTCTGCCACTTGCTCCTGGGCTTGGGTCTCTGGGCGCAGGAGAGCAGCGCCTTCATTCCAGTGCTCAATTCCTACAGGAGTCACCTAGAGACTTTTTTTTACCCTTTTTGGGCTGTGTCTTTTGGATAGTGTTTAGTAGTAGTCAAGTTATAAGCACATTTTCAATGACGTGTATTGAAGAGGCACCTTTTATTTGTATTAATCACATTTGATAGACAATTCGGTGCCTGCGGTTCTCTGTAACTTGTGTCTCACTTTGGGTGTGTAAATTGTTAACCCTTTCAGACTTATCAAATATGGATTAATAAAAACAAGATGCTTAGGATAGAAAGCTAGCAGCTTAACTGCACTTCTCCCACTGCAAGTGCCCTCCTCCGCCGCTGCTGCGGGGGTTTTGCTTTCTGAAGCCGAAAGTTGAGCATGCCCAGCCCTTTTCCCCGGTGCGAGGCAGCTTGCATGGCCGTGCTGTCCCCGATGCATGTCCCTACTAACTATGCAAGCCTCTAGGCCAGCGGCACCGCGGCACCGCTCCGAGCTGCTGCTGCTGCTGCTGCTGCTGGCACACAGGAGCATGTCCCTGGGTTCCTGCTTCCTTTGCACATCTCTGACTCTTTCCTTTGCAGGATTCTGCGTTACTGACGAGGCTGGAGCGTAATGTATGGTTAGAGGGATCGGAGCAGGGAAATGAGAACAAACTGACTTGTATTTTGTGTTGTTTTTCCTTTTGTTGGCAGGGCAGCCTGCTCAGGCTTGTAGCCTGTCCTTGCACGTGAGGAGGGCAGCTGGGCACACGGAGCTGCTGTGAGGGGAGCGGTTCCCAGCCGCCTCCTGCCGCCCAGACTGCTCCTGGGGCTTTGCCTGCCTTTCTGGGGAGCCCCTGGGCTGCCTGGGTGTGCTCCAGAACCCTCTGTGGTGCTGGGCTCTGAGCCGTGTCCTGTGGGCCAGCAGGGTCCCCGTGAGTGCCACGCGGCCAGGGCTTGCTGCAGGTCCCAGCACTCCTCCTGCTCCCCAGCCCTGCAGTTTGGGTGCCCTCCCCTTGGTCAGCTGGCACGGAGAGGCTTTGGAAACAACATTCCAGATGATTTTACTCTTGTGTGTTGTTTTGTTTTTTAATTTTAGTTTGGTTTGGTTTTTTTTTTTTTAATCTTTGTTATTTGCCTACTAATCCAAAAGAATTTGGCAGTATCTAATGATACCTGTGGAGGGAACTGAAATTTAGTTTTAATCTGTGGTGAGATGAAAGTCCTACATGGTTTTCTCAACAAAAGCATTGTAAAGCAGTTACTATTAAGAGCTTTATTTTGTAAAAGAAAAGCACCTGAAGACTTGTACAATGTCTGTGTTAGATCTAAAGGCTTAGGGACTCTATTTTTTAAAAGGTGATAGCACTCAATTTATCTGCAAATAGTGTTTTTTAAAAGACACAGATTAAAACTAAGTGTAACCACCAGTCCCGGCTCACTCAGCCCTGCAGGGCCAGCCTCAGGCTCGTGTGGTATTTGTGAGTGCAATAACCCCTTTGGAGGTGCTACATTGCCTTGGGTAGGGTAACACAAGGGAATCCAGGCCACAAGTGGCTCCATTATTGTCCTGTGGCCTTCCAAGTATGAATTTGTACTGATTTGCTCACCACCTGTGCCTCACCATTGGTTAAAATTGAATTTTAAGTCCTGTTGCAAATGCAGTTTCTCTTCTGGACACAATGTCAGATTTTACACTGGAATATCTACAGTTCTCAAACTGCATGTCACATCACTGTACCTGGTACAGGGACGTGGGGCTTTCCCACACCTTTGATATTCTCCTCTGTATTTTAATGTTTTTGACCTGTACAGTAATTGGAAAGCAGGCTGTCTACTTGGGGTTGAACATTGTACCATAAATTTTAAATTATTTGAGGACAACTGCATGAGACTGTGTCAATGCCTTTTATTATTTATTTGTATGTTTTATTATTCGAGGTGTATGCACTTTTAATATGCAGAATTTATATTTTTATGTTAAAAATCATTTTCTTTCAGAAAGAAGAGTTTGAATATGAGGAATTGGAATTAAGTGCAAAAAGGGGAATATGTAATAAAATACAATAAATTTATTACTAGGCATCCTGCCTGAGTGAGCATCTTTCCAGGCTGCTGGCTTCAGCCTTGCCGTGTTCCTGCCCTGCCTGCTCCAGGCCCTGGATGGGCTTGGGAGAGCTTCCCTGTGTGCCCCAGGGCTCCTGTGGGGAAACCAAAGGCAGAGCTGTGTGCTGGGGAGGGGAGACACGGGCTCCTCCTTCCTTCCCTGCTGCTGTTCCTGACACTTCTCTCTCCACAGCCCAGCAGTCCAGGTCCTGCAGTGCTCAGTCCCAGGAGTGGCTGTGGGACCTGCACCAGAGCCATGTGCTGGTGAGTTTGGCCCGTGAGCCCCAGGGCAGGGGGATGTGATCTGGTTCCTGCATCCATCCGTGCCTCATGTTGGGCCTCAGCCCCCCACATGAAGGGGCTTCTCAGCACCAGAGCAGTCCCCTGCTACCCCCAGCCCCATCCATGCCCACTGCCACTCACAGCAGTGAGGCCAAGCTCCAGACAGGAGGGACACATGGAGCCAGGTCCTATGGCATTTGGGACCAGGAGCCCCCCAGCTGGATCCCCGCAACTCCAGGAGATCCTCGGGCCAGCCCTGCCTATGATGTGGCCAGAGGTATTGAGGGCAGGGCTGGCCTGAGGGGCTCCTGCCATCACCAGGTGCTGCAGGCTTGAAGCTCCTCCAGCTCTGTCCTAACTGAAGACTTTTTCCTTTAGCAGGGTGTGCAGCAGTGACTCCAGACACGGAGGAGAGAGTGGCTGCCAGATGGGAGAGTGGATGGGCTGCTCCTGCTGCCACCTGCCTCAGCCCAGCGAGGATGAGGATGGAGCAAGGCAGGAGGAGGACAGGCCGCTGCTCCTGGGTGCTGAATGGAAAACCTCTGTCCTCGGTGCATTGTTTCCACATGAGCCACCCTGGCCTGGGAGAGCTGCTGTGCTCCAGCTGCCCCAGCTGCAGGCACCAGCCCCTGCTGGGCTGCCCAGTCCCAGGGCAAACAGAGCCTTTCCACTGCAGGCTCAGATCCTCCTGCTCCAGGGAGCCCTCGGATCAGTGCATCAGGGGCTGGGTTGGGCTGCACAAACTCACCTTTCAACACGATTTTTGATTCTCAAGGGTTCTTTTTCTTCTCCTCTATGCATAGTTTTGCAGGAGGGGACTGTTGCACAGGTGAGCAGCATTATCAGTGTGTGCCCCGTGCCCCTTCAGTGCTCACCAAGGTGGAAGTTGTCCGTGAATCCCCCTTGTTCCCCAATCTCCAGATGGGCTGTCCTGACCTGCCCTTGCCTGGCAGTGGTTACAGAAATGGTGATGTTGGTGTGTTTATCAACAGCAGTGCTGCATCACCCCTTGCTCACACGGATCCTGGGGCCCTGGGGGACACCTGGCCCCTGCCAGGCCCTGCTGTGGAGCCTTGGTCTGTGTTTCCATCCATCCTGTTGGGAATGGTGAGCTGAGGAGCTGCTTGCTGCCCTGGCCAGTCACGCACATGAGTCCCACCCCTACTGTGTACCAGAGGCTCTGCTTCACATTTGTGTGGAAATGGGGATGGCAGATGTCGTATTAAATCATGGGGTCATCATTTATTTATAGGTGATTACATTAAAGAGAGATTAATATAGCCAAAGGCTTTGCAGAATTAGAGTTAATGTACTTGTGTTTATTATATTTGCCAACATTTCTCCAATCCAGCTGGGTTTTTCTGGCCACAGAGTTTAACAGAGAGCCCACTGCCATCCTCCAGCCTATCTGGGAGGGGGGTGAGGTGCCCATGGACAACACTTGAGAACTTTGGTCTTCGAGTGATCAATTCTATTGCCTCCCACTTTCTGAGGGTCCGTGGCAGGCACTCGGTGCATGGGGAGGGCAGGGTGGGACTCGGCAATGCTTAGGGGGGTTTGGGAGGGGAGCCCAGGGTTGGGGCTCCCAGATGGTGCTCCTAGGCTGGGATTATGCTGTGTTTAACTGGGATTAGACTACTGCAGAGCTGTGCACAGGTTTCTGACACCCTGGGGAGGGGAGTATGTCCCTGAGGAGCACTGATGGGGGAGTGCCAGGTGTTCCCTTGGTCCCTGTGCCCCCAGAGCCTGGCCTGGGGCTGCTGTCACCTGTCCCAGCTGGCTGCTGCCAGCTCAGGGGGCACCAGCAGAACTCCCTGATGGATGAACCAGAGCAGCCAAGAACATCCTGTGTTTGGCTGGAGGTGCCAGACCACATGGGACTGGTTACTGTTTGTGGCAACCGGGACTGGGTGCATAGAGTGGATGTGCAGCTCCCTGCTGCTGCCTGACAGCTGCCTGCTTCTGAGAGCCAGAACAAAACCCAAGCTTTGGGAGGCTATCAGTAATTGTAACACATTAGGCACTGTCACCCCTACCCCTGGACTCTTAAATTTTGCTCTAATTGGAGTATTGCTTTTCCTTCCTCAGCACTTTTTCCCCTCGGCCAGGTATCGATCCTGGCTCTGGGGATCTGGCTAACTGTTGGCAATTTATGGGAATATAAAACTAGTCCATTGTAGAGCAAAAACCCAGCTTTTAATAAGAAATGGTGACATCAGCCTCTGGCTGATTCCAAGGTGGATTTACCATTTTACAGTGGGTCCCCAGGTCAGGGGCACAGGGGCTGTTGGGGGAAGAGGACCATTAGAAGCCCCTTGGACTGGGCCACCTTGTGGGCAGGGAAGGCCTGAGGAGCTTTTGAAGATGTGGGGGTTCCCTTTCTGGTCTCCCGTGCCCCTTCCCATGGTGGTGGAGGGTCTGGCTGGGATCCCCTGACCCCACAGGACCCGGGTCCATAACATGTCCCCTCCTGCCTGGAGCTTGGTCTCAGTGCTGTGGGTGCCAGGAGCTGGTGGGCAGCAGGCTGGGCTGGTGGCAGGAGACTGCTGGGGCTGGAGGGCTCTGGTGCTGGGCAGCCTCCCCAGCTCTTCCACGTGTCCCTGCTGCAGCTGCCCCAGCCCCTTGTGGCGCTCTCCTCTGCCGATGGATGCCGGTGGCTTTGCGGATTGAGGCTGGTGTGGGTTTCTGCAGGTGTGTTCCTGCAGGTTTGGGGCTGTGGGGTCCTTGGGGAGCAGGTCCCTGGCGCTGGGAGGCACCCGGGAATGAGATCCCAGCTCCAGCCCCGGGAGGAGCCCCTGAGCATCCCCTGCTGCCGGCCTGCAGCGCCGGGCCGTGTTGTGTTGGGTGTCCCTGCGCTGGAACAGCTGCTCTCCCTGCCATTTGCCGCCGTCTAATTGCGGTTTTATTGAAATGAGTCTAAATTGTCTGGGAATACTTTAGGTCGCTGTCTCCCTGTGGCTCGCACTCCGTATGGATGGGAGTAGTCGGCAGAACGCTCCCGGTTTTAATCTTGCAGAAGCGGCTCCCTGGAGAACGGGTGCATTTCCTACCAGCCTTAATGAGTTTCCAGAGCTGGGGTCGGATTGTCCTGGCAGTGGTGATGGGGGCCGCTCCACAGCTCTGTGCTCCAGACTGTA